AACATGAAATGAACAAACCTAAGAGAGGTCTACCCAAGGTACATATACACCAAGTATCAAAGCATTCAGGCTTTTAGTTTTCAAGAAGAAGTCAAAAAAGTAAAACATTGACACGGACGACGACGACGGACAATCACTCGTATGATAAGCTCCGCTCGACAAAGTCGACAGCGGAGCTAAAAATAATGTTCCAAGTGGTGAAATACTGAAAATAATATGCATCTACAACAGTTCAGAGTAGAATTCAACAGTACGCATTGTGAAAGAACGGATCAGGCATGTATTATTAGTCTCAATTCATTTGGGGGAAACCTCTGACCCAGAGGTATTAAGGAACTGGAATTGTAATTGCATATTACAGAGTATGACATGATGGGAGTGTGTACTTTGCAATCTAAGCAGTCACTGGGTGGTGTGGCTTGTTAGCTTGTGTATATATCTGGTAGCGTCACTTATGTGTATTTATATACCTGGGAATCACTTGCGGACGACCGCAGTGTTTGGAGACAGACAGTGAAAAAGGGAGTAAAGCGAGGCGAGAAAAAGAGAAAGCAACAGTTGGAGGAAAAAATAGCAAGAAGGAAAGACAGGCAGCAGAATAAAGCAACAAATCCACCTTCAAACTATGTGTGCAGCAGAGACTGTCATGCAAGGATCGGGCTGCTGAGTCATGCCCGCCGCTGCTTTCAACAAGACTGAGCGAATGACTCACTGGACGCAAACCCATCGTCTCCCGAGACGAAGGGATGCCTACAGAATATCTGGTAGCGTCATTTAACAAGATTATAACATAGACAATTATTAATAGGGATCATTTACTATGAAATGCCGGAATCATTTTTATTCGCTCTTTACTTTTATTACGCTCTTTTTGATAGTATACAGCTGTTCCCAGCTCCATGCGTCCAGATATTTAGCAAATACCGTACCGCATACTACTTCATACATCAAATGCTACCAACTAAACATATCTGATAATAGAGCATTAAACCATATCAATGTCATTTCATTATTACATACCAGATGGTAAATTGACAGCCTCTGTATAAATACCAGGAGGGAGTTTTTCAACTTCTTCTGTAGGTTCACTACATTTAACTGTGGCAATTTTGCCAAGATCACCTTCCTTCAAGCTGGATGAAATAAATAATATATGTTAGGTAAAACATGGGAGTGGTATTGAGGGAGAAAGACATGAATGTCACAGTCCTCGTTATTTAATTATAAAATTGCAAACAATTGAATTAATACAACGTATGTACTCAACTTTCATTGACCCGGGTCCAAAATACACAAGTACACAAGTGCAACCAAACTATGTCTCATAGTTGCTCAAGAAACTGCATTCATAAATCTGAGTAAACCTAGATATACCTTTAATAACAACTTGCCTTCTTTGTTAATTCAATTAAAAAAAATTATGTGCATATTCATCAACCTGCCAAGTTTCACTGATATCTGCTGCAGAATTTCTGAGAAAATGTTGGAGACAGAAAGCAGAAAATGGCTGCGCCTGAACGGGGACTAATAACAGTGAATTAATTTTTATCTGATACATCTTCCACATCAGGATTATAAACCTAAACCAAAAATGGTACTATCATACACTGGACCATTAGAATATGACCTATTTTGACCATAACTCACAGTAAAATGTACCACCCACATGCAAAAATAAAGTAAAAGTTAAAATATTACTTCCAAAATGTTCGTTAAAATCAATTTTATAATTATTCATACATCATATACATACCTTAAATTAGAGAGAGTACTAAGGAGCACATTGCTGCGTCTTCTTGTACTTACAGGAGACAGATATTTTTCCTGAAAAATGATGTCAACAATAAGATTTTACACACAAGTTTGCCAATTTGCTAGCGAATTGGCTAACTGCTTGGATTTTGACTAAACGGTTGGCTTTCAAATCTCGCTGGGACAGTCTTGTGGTCATGCCCACTTAAGGCGAATCTATATAACAGTAGGGGACGATCCTCATACTTTAGGAGCTATTCGGCAACGGTTTTACAGTTGGATGGCGATTTCGCTTTCAAATATACCAGGGAAAGTGTTCTATGCTCTTCCGTGTCCACACAAAAACGACGAATGAGGTAGATTTTTTCAGCGGTTGGCTTAATGTTACCCCAACGGTCGTTTGAGTGTGAAAGTTTGTTATTTTCTCCCTGATTTGTAGGAAACTGTTTCTCAACTTGTATATTTAGAGTCAAGCAGTGTTCAAGAAGGTTACCCTCATATAATAAATATCGGTAGATTAATCGCATTTATAATATTGTCACGCCAGCTGACTGTGGCCATTTTCGGGCTCAAATCATTCAGGGGAATCCAGACATGTACCAGCCTGAGGATGCATAAAAACATTGCATTTCCCCTAATGCAATATAGACTCGCCAAGAGTGGACGCGATCACAAACCGGCGCCAGCAAGATTCGAAAGCCAACTGTTTAGTCAAAACCCAAGCAGTTAGCCAATTCGCTAGCGAGTTTGCGAATTGGCTGCCCCAATACTTCTGAGACTTGCTGTAAAAGTTTAAAAAAATCTCGTCTTCAGGAAGTTTGGATGTAGAAATATAGATACTGTCACACTGAGTCACATACCCAAATTCATGCTGACCTTGTGTAGGATATCAAATAGTCTGAAATCACCAATTATTTTTATTAAATAGCTGCTTATATAACTTGTATATTGTAATTACAACAGACAGACATATTCTGAGCAACTAACCTGTAGGCTTGATGCAAAGTAGGATCGTCGTCTAGTATAGCGCTTTCTTTCTCTTTCCTGCTTCTCTTTTAATGCCAGTTGTCTGTAATAATCCAGCAACTGACCAATCTGAGAATATGGACAAAAAATAATCAGAATAATCCAGCTAGAAAAGTTGCCAAATCCATCGTAAAACTGTACTTATAAATGTTGTTGTTTGAAATCGAGTTAAGTCAAACAAAGCTACTTAAATATTAACCACTGACAGTTACCTCATAATACCAATGAAAGCTACAAGTCCAAACATAGCAGCAATCAAGACAGCATGATAATGGCAAACTACAGTACAACATTCATCACTTGTTGAAACTATGCTACAAATTATATAGAATTTATAAACTAAAACTATAGTACATTACTATTATCTACCATTACCGCAGTAGTTTTGTTACTGCTATATGTGGGTTAACTAAGTAAGCATACCTTGTCACTAGTCTGAGAATGCGGGAAATGAAAGTAAAGTAACACAATTAAAGTTAAACCTAAACCACTGTTTGTATTGTGTATTAAAACTTTAATTTGATCACTGTCTGTTAAATGAGATGCTGTCAATCTGGAGTTGCAAATTTTTGTGTAGTGAGTCCCATTAAGAAAATGAACTGGAACTTGC